TATTGCCATATGTAACCTTTTGTAACGATGTGCTTCAAATTAGTTAATTATTGCAAGTTCTATCACTCTCCATTACCTTCCCTTCGTATTCTTTAACGGCGTCAGTTTTTTGCTGATGTGGCTAACTGAAAAGTCTAGTCACCTAAATTTAACCAGAAAAAACTTAAAAATCGCCCCACCATGTCATATAACCCACCACTTAATAAAATCCAACTCAAATCCTACCTTGTTGACCTGCCATAAACAATCCATCCCCGCTCCTCTTTCGCCTAGTCCGCTGCATCCCCAATCCCCCCCCCCCCCCCCCCCTACCTACTCTTAATCACCTCCCACCACAAGCCCAACGTCCACATCCCTGACTTCTTCCTTATATCTCCATCCTCTAGGAGTAGGTAAGACTTTCAATGGCGATTTGTTTGGGACAGAGAAAGGGTTAGGGAGCTATGGTGAAGATGAATGAGATGGCGGGTACTCTGCCAAAGATTGAGAATTACGGTGGTGCGGTGGTGTACTAAGGGAGTGGTTTTGGCGACGAAAGGATCGATGCTGACAGCGACATTGCGACCATGGGTTGAATTGGGTTGGGGTATCTTATGTGGGGATGGGTTAAAGGTGTAAAGGATGGGTTTTAATTTTTTAGGGTTAAAATTGGCTGATTATGCAGTTTTTTTAGCGATGTTAGCAAATGACGAACTCAAATAATGGACACTAACGGAGACTAAGAGAAAGTGACCAAACCTGAAAAATATTGAGCTAATTTTAATGAGTACAAATGAAATAAAATATTTTTAATTACAAAAATTGAAATTTTCTCAATAATCCGAGTGATTAGAGGTGTCAATCTGGCCAGTTCGGGTTGGTACAATCGGGTTACTGGTTCGTCGGGTTTTGGATTCATCAGGTGGTGGGTTAGTCAGGTTCGAGTTCAATCGGGTTGTGGGTTAGTCGGGTTATGGGTTAGTCAGGCTACGGGTCAGTCCGGTTGCTTGTTCATCGAGTTTCGGGTTCATAGGGTTGTGGGTTAATCGACTTACGAGACAGGTAGGTTGCGAGCGGATCAGGTTAGGAGTTGTTCAAGTCAGCGCATTGTGTTGCTTACTCGTTAGAACTTACACTTTATTTATTATATACAATATCCAAATTAAAATTTTGGTTAATTTAACTACTCAACAAAGTTATCAATTAAATATAAATTGAGTAAAGTAATGTATTTCTTAATTGGGTTATAGGTATAATATGCCCTTCTACTATGACGTTTTATCAAACATGCCCCTCTACTATTTTTTACACCAAATATGCCCCTGTATTTTGAAAAAATTATCAAACATGCCCTTCTATTAAAATTTCCATTAAAAAAATCGTCAATCATGGTTGAACCGAGATTTAGAAGACCCGACATCGACAAATGGGAGGAAAAATGTCAGTTTTGTCCCCTGTTTTATTTCTCTGGGTCTTTTCAAAGTGAAATTATTTGAATGATTTGATTATACAAAATAACTAAAAAAAATTCTAAATTGAAATTTTCAGGGATATTTAGTCATTTGTGTCGCCAAAACTAAAGTTCGATCTTGGTTAACGGTTTTTGGGTGAAAATTTTAACAAAAGGGCATGTTTGATCATTTTTACAAAGTACAGGGGCATGTTTGATGTAAAAAATAGTAGAGGGGCATGTTTGATAAAACGTCATAGTAGAGGGGCATATTATACCTATAACCCTTCTTAATTTGATGATTTTAAAAGAAGAGAGAAATTTTGGTGTTTTCAATTTTTTGGGAAGAGTAAGAAGATAGAAATTTAGTGCTTTCAATTTAGGGTTAATACCTTATCATGACCCCAACTATATCCAAATAATCAACTTTGGCTCATGGTTTTAGAAATTGATATCCTGACCTCAATTATACACCATATAGACTAGTTTGGCCGGACGCGTGTTTTGGCCATTAATTTGGACAGTCAACGCTCTAGCTCACTGCCATATCAGCACCAATTAAATAAAAAAAATTCAATTTTAATTTTTTTATTCATATTTTGTTTTATCTAATAATAAAATAAATCCTAATTTCGATACCCAAGTCCAATAATTTCTCCTCCCTATTAACATCTACCCACCATACGGTAAATTGGAGCTCTCGGCGGCCATATTTAGCAGCTCTCGTGGCTGGATTCAATAAAGCAATGAAATATGTTTTGGTCGTAGCCCAGAACTCAGTGCGAAGTCTACGGCTAATGCGGCGTGTTCAGAAGTTGTATGGCGCAAGGCTAGTCTTTATGTCATTGCTTGAACGGCTTTGTCCGCAAATCGAAGGGAGATTATAAATCCGAGGTGTTTTACAGAGGGTGCGCCAGGAGGGTGAGCGTGTAGTGCGAAAACGACAACAATTCAACCGATTCGAACCAGAATCGAGATGGGTTCTTCCCGAATTACAACGTGGGGCAACTGGATAACCCGCAGACGGTGGGATCTGTGGCCAGTTCACAAGATTGTGAAGCGCCTTGTTTGAGCAACTGCTCTTGCTCTGCTTATTCGTAGGATGGGAATCGGTGCTCTGTTTGGTATGGGGATCTCTTAAATCTACAACCCGCGAGTGGGATAACCATCTTCGTCAAACTTACAAGATCAGAGTTGTCAAACTCGAAGAATAAAAATGGAATTGTGATTGGCGCCTTTGTGGGCTCGATTGTGTTTCTGGGTTTTGTTAGTTTGGTTGTGTTCATAGTGCTTAGGAGAAGGAGGGGAATGGTGAAGTAGGGAAAGCCATGGAAGGTTCGCTAGTTTTTTTTTTTTTTATATAAAAAAATATTGAAAATAATTTAAATTAGACTTAATTAGCGTTGACATGGCAGTGAGTTGGAGGGTTGACCGTTATTCCATGGTGTTAACCGTCCAATGACGCTCAAAACACGCGTCGGGTCAAACTAGTCTATATGGTGTGTAGTTGAGGTCAGGATAGCAATTTCCAAAACCACGGGTCAAAGTTGATTATTTGGGTATAGTTCAGATCATAATAAGGTATTAACCGTTCAATTTATTAGAAAAGAAAGAGGGGGTGGTGTCTTTGATTTATAGGAAGAGAAAGAGATGAGAAAGTTTGGTTCTTTTGATTTACAAAAAGAGAAATAAGGAAATAAATTTTGTGTTTTTAAATTTTCTGAGGAAGGAAAGAAGAGGAAAATTTGATTCTTTCAATTTTATGGAAGAGAAAGTAAACTTGAGTACTTCTAATTTATGAAAGTAGAAAAAAGTAGGATAGTTTAGTGTTTTCATTTTTGTTGTGAAAAGACAGGAAACAAGCCTTTCAAATATGAATCTTTAATCTTTATATGGAGGGCATGACTAAATAGCTACATTATAGTCTTATATGGAATGTTTATTTGACTATTTTTTTTTATAACCCAGAAACATCCCCACGCACAAATCGCTTGAGCGATGACGGTGCGAGACCAAACCTGGACTTTCACTTGCTTGAGCCCTTTGGACCCTCCACTAAGATCCCCTTTTGGTGCCTCCGGGAACAACACAACTAGCCTCGAGGTGGGTCGTCACACTTTCCGGTCGAGGGTCTCTCGAGAGTTTTAGCAGTTGGCTATGTGACCTTTGACGACTATATTAGATTTGAGAACCTATTATGTGTTGCCTTATCTTCAATACAATATCACTCGAATTATCTCAAATGCATGTTATTTTATATTATAAATCATAAACTTTACATATCAATTTAATTATCATAATGTTTATGTATGAATTACATTGACATTTAGTGGCTAAGAAATTGTCTAAAGTAAACCTTATTATAGTCTTATAACGGCATATGACTAATTTGATATAGTAGATTTGGGAACATATCATGAGTTAAGAGTTTAGCATTTAGCATTTAGTAGCTAAAACATGGTCTATAAGAGAACCTATCATGAGTCATCTTATCATAATAAATCAATCGCTTCTGTTATAGTACACATAACCTAACATCCATTATATAAACTAATTTAGGAACTTCTTATAAATAACGTACTTATCTAACTATATGAACAAATTAGTTTCACTATTTCTAGGGTATGGAGTTATATAATTTGAAGGTTAATATGTATATTTAATTGTTTATGGTTTAATACTTAAATTAATCATTAGTTACAACAATCATTTATTTTAGAACAATTCACTTAATTTGTCTACTTGTTTCTATTCTTCTACAGTTATTGCAACTTCAGCACTACATTGTAAAAAAAAAGCACTGCATGATCGTTTTTTTACAACACTTGGTAAAATTTTGCCTATTTGAGTTGAATTTTATTCCAAAGCGAAGTTTAAACTTGTTTTGTTCGGTATACGATTACAATAACTCAACCATCTAAAATAATACAAAATTAATGTTGCACTTTGACAATTTTTAACTTTTATAAGTACTTATACAAAACAAAACAAAAAAACTTTTATGAGTACATAAATATGAGGTAGAAACAAATTGACTAAAAATTGTGAAAAATGTTTGAAATCTATTATTGTATTATCTCAATTATTAATTATTTATATTGAATGTTGTCATTGTGCTTGCTTTTATATTTCATATTTATTTATTTTTTATTTTTGTTAAAGAATTTAGTGTTCAAGTGACCTTCATGTTTTGATTTTTACATAATTTCAAGTGAGTTTCATTTTTTTTAAATTCCCTATACGAAATGAAAAAATGATTTTACCTAAGTTTAGAATGAAAACTTTATTTTTAAAGACTATATATTATTATTTAATATAATAATTATTCAGTTGGATCGAATGGGCTCGAGTTGAGTCATTTGGGTCACGGGTTAGTTGAGTTCGGGTTTTGGGTTAAATAAGATTGTAGGCAATTGGGTTGTTGGTTAACGAGGTTGTGGATCAATCAGCTTGCGAGTTAATGAAGTTGCGGGTCAATCGAGTTGCAGGACGGGAGGGTTACGAGGTTGTAACTTGACTAAAAGTCAACTTACAAGTCGGCTGAACAGGTGGTTAGTCAAATCGGATTATGTTTTTTGACAACTCTCTCTACATGTAATTTATCCTCCCAAGTCCCAACCACTTTTCAAACTTGTTCCACCCCTAACACTATCGGGTCGTTTGCTTGAGGGTTTTGGTGATGGATTTGGTCATGGAAATCTATCCATCATGGACTTTGACGGAAATCCATCGTTTGCCTTAGGGAATTAGGGAGATGGAATTTGTGGGTCCCGCCACTTTTGGGGTTCCAAATCCGTGGACCCCACGGACTTGGAAGTTCCACCTCTTGAGGTGGGATTTGGATGATGGATTAAAATCCATGATGGTAAATTACCTTTCTACCCTTACTTATTACTTTAATTACAAAGTTGTCCTACTTTAATTCAATGGTCATGCAATTATAAACTTTTATAATGTCGTATTTTATATATATGAGAATTTTTCATTTCGTTTTGTAATATCATAGTTTATTTAAATATGAATGTATATGTGATTTGTTAGATTCAACTATAAACATCTTATGCTCATCTTGTGCATTATTATTTGATTGATTGTCGGATTCCAAAATCGGGGAGTTAGCAAGAAGTTGATGAGTTGTAGCAATAAAGCGAGCAATTGGTTGCAATTGATACATAATATTGCGTACATTATTAGATGAGTTGTTAATTAGTGCCAAAATATAATACATTTCTATATTTGTAGTTGAATTATTAGTCCACATAGTGGTAAAGAGTTTAAAATTTCATTGTATGCGTTGGATTTTTTTAATGAAATTTATGGATTATAATATAGAAATATAATTAGATAAGATAAGGGTAACAAGGTAATTTGAATTTCATATCCACAAATCTATTCAAACAAAATCTATAATCAAATCCAACAAGCAAACAATAGACTTGGTCAAATCCATAATGCCACCAAATCCATCATATATCCATGGTTTTCCAAAACCCAAGTTTTACCAAAACCCTCATTTTTCAAATCCATGAAGCAAACGACCCGTATATATCTCTACTAAATTGATTATACCATGACCACCCTAATACTAAAATAATACAATTACATATTTCCGCTACCAGCGAAACGATGATCTTATATTGTTATTTACTGCTCAATTATATGAACCTGGCAGCAGGTGACAGATCGACGTCTCCCCCATTATGCCAAACTCAGGTTCTGTCTGTGTCATATATCTGCTACTAAAACTAGGCTATACAACAAACATTTTATTAGTTCTCTCTCTATTAACCCCAAGTCCTGACCAACTAATTACACCTGGCTCTTCTAGCAACATCTCCCAACTTTCATCCTTCTATTTATGTATGTATGTATAGGGGATACCAGTCAGCCAGAACCACTGACAAATTTTGTATCTGGAAATCTGCACTCATACATCGTGGCGACTCAGAAAATCGATTATGCACGGATACACTTCGTGATAGGCCTGCAGATTGAACCCAAAAAAGAAAACAAAACAGATTAATACTCGGTAGGATTGTGTTCTACGATCCTTCTTTCTTGAAAACAAACCTTCCTTTCATTAGTTCATAGATTCATCGAAAATGAAAAAGAAAAGGGTTCTTTGAGGAAGTTATTATGGATTTGTTTCATCAAATTGTAAGCATCCAATAGGAAACCTAAGAGATCAGTTCTTACCCAACGACCTCCCACCAGATCATAGTGCCCGTAGTGAGGACCCCCAGGTTCCCCAAAAACTTTATACATAACCAAATGCTCAGGTATAGACTTCACTGTCTCTGCTCCATCAATCAAGTTTTGGCCATGGTTTATGTAAGGTAAACCAGTAGTTAGCATAGGTCGAAGCCAAATGAATACAGATACAGATAGTCCATAGAGTTCCAAAATTTACCATAAACAGCTGTTGGAGGACAAATAAAATCTTGATCTCCAGCGATTGCCAACACGGGAACCTTACTCTTTTTAAGGTGTTGCTTGTACAGAAAGTTCCCACTTCTATCTGTTAGCCCACCCTGTTGGAATGCTGTTGTCAGCTGAAGTAAGAGTTTCGCAGGCACTGTGCCTGTGGGTTGGGTTTGAAATGCATTCTGGTCAGCTCATGATCCATCTCATTACTCCCATATTAAAATTATGGACTGTTTTCAAAACACTTACAAAAGCTGTTGGAAACAAGCTTTGTCAGTGCCTGAGGGTGAAGCATGCCCTGAGCAGTAACTTGAGCCTTTAACCATGAAAGGACATATGGAGGACTAGATGAGAAGTGATAAGCAGCAGCAATCAGTGTCCCAACAGGAATAGCAGGAATGTTGAGAGCCCTCGCAGGGTCTGCCTGTGAATCATGTAACAATGGTAGAATCAATTAAGTGATGACCCCAACGTGGCAATCTAAGTCACTGGAATACATAAAACACAAGATTCTTCTGCATCACTTGCCACTGGGAGGAGAAATTTGAGTGATGAGTTTGAAGGTGTGTAATCAAGTGTTGACCCCAAAGTGACAATCGAAGTCAGTCCAGAATCTCTACCTTGAGAACCTTGAAAAATGAGCAAAGGCCAACCATTATCCAAATCAATCCCAGTGGAAGGAAGGAAAAATATGCAATAGTGGGTAATTCTAGTTTCAATTCCCAAAGTAAAGATGATCTTAGGCTTGCTTGGAATGGTTCTCTCTTCATGGCCAGCTAATGATGTATCCAAAACCAGGACCCAACATGATATCAATTCTAGTGGTAGCATGTTCAGTTGATTGCGGTGATAATAATTAGTATGTATTAAATATCAAAATAGTCTAATAATCTCTTCCACAAGTTAAGGATCAAATCCAGACGTTAAACCTGAGACATGCTTAAGTCTGACGCTTACTAATGTTTTAGGAAGCCACCTTTAGAGAGAACCCGAAGATCTTTGGAACTAGACTCTCATTCTTCTGAATGATGCTTCTCGGTTCTTTGTCCCCAAAATTGCTGGATCAAATAAATTGGTAACAGAAAAAGGCAGTGGTTGTAATAGCTATGCAAGTCTATGATAACAACAACGATCATTTCCCTTCGACGGACACAAGTAACTAGTAGTAAGTTGACACACCAGTTTCAACTCAAGTTGGTCTAGCTAGGTGAGTTTAGTTGAATTCTGATTCTGGTATAAAATGGTCCAACCTACTCGATCGTTAGTGCTTCCAAAAGTCCATTAACGAAGACAAGGCAACACAACTTGAGTTCAAATATGGACGAGCCTGTTCCAGACTGTTTGCATTCAAGCCAATCTTTAATCTCTTCTGGAACAGTTGACAGAAGGAACAAATTACAGTGAAACTTACAAGAGCGTGATAGCATTGCATAAAGAAGAATCCCTCCCATGGAGTGCCCAATTGCAAAAATCTGTCCGTCATTTGGTTTGCTTTGAGTCCTGATATACTCCACCTAAGATCACGCAATTCAATTACAAAATTCATCAAATAAGAACATTAAACCTTGGAAGTAGTCTATAGTGATGTAAAGAAACAGCAGAACGGAACATTTAAGATGTTTGATTCCTGAAGTAATAATGCACCTTACCGCGGATGGCAAATCCTCTTCCAGATGATGGTCAAGGTCCCAATCATACTTGGAAACCATGTCTAGTTGTTTAATAACATCTTCTAACTCGGAAGGGAAAAGACCTTGGAACAGACCGACATTGGGAGAAACAAATTGCTGACTTCCTTCTATAACATCTAGAAGCTTTTGGCTTAAGTTCCTTATTTGGCTGCCAATCTGGGAGCTTACCCCTGTCAAATAGTTAAAACCCCTAAAGTTACAAACTAGAACTACTGGATGCACTAAGAAAGCTACAAAGTTCTGTTATGTAACTCACCGTCGTCAAAGAAGCTCGACAATCTGTCAGCCCCGTTCATGAACGATTCAGAGGGCCTTTGTTCCAACCTGCCTTTACTTTCCCCCAAAGAGGCATCTGAATCTGTACAAGAAGCAGACAATGACAATTTCGAGATAGTTAGCAAGTAGAAAGGACAATTAGAAATCCACAGACGCATTTTATACCTTCCCCAATGCCCACTCGAAATGTACTCAAACCAGATCCTCGAAGTTCCAGAACCCAAGTGTCGAATCCTTGGCCGGACATGAAACGAGCAAATGAGGACTGCATAACTCAAAACATTTGGGGTTTGGCTGCTACTTAAATGGAAGCATTTGCCCAAGGCAATATGAAAGAGGTAAATAATTCAAATGCACAGAAATCAGCTCACCTTCGGACAGAGATCGTACCCGACGGCATTGGTTGCAACTCCGGACAACAGAAACAGCGGATGTTTCCTTGTCTGCATTTAAATAGTTGGAGTTGACGAATAGTTAGAAATTTCAGGAATGAATTTCAGAGCGACTTGGCATTACCATGGTGGAAGGAGAGTGAAGGTAGCGCCAGAGAGCGAGTTTCCAGTCCGAATTGTAAGCGTCGATGCGGTGCAGCTCGTCGGCGGTGCAGATTTCAGGCTTCTTATCTACCTTGCTCGTCTCCGCCATCAGTTTTGTTCGCCGAGGCGGCGAGGAGAAGGCCGTTCCTGATGCAACGGAGCGTCGAGACGATATGTTGAGGGGAAGAGCCAACGGCGCCGGGGGACAATGGATTCCAGAAGCATCCATTTTCTTTTTCCTTCCCTTTTCTGCGCGTCGGGCACGGTGGTGGCAGCTGCGGGCGGCGGCAGGTTTGCATGCTCCATGGTGGCATCTTTGATTTGTGGTAGCCGGTAGGGGTGCAAAAGAGTCTGGTTCGGTTTAATTAGACGGTTTTATCCGGTTATCGGGTAACATTCTGTTCAAACCTAGAATTAGAATTTGGACTGGATTGAATCTGATTTTAATCGTAACCGAGTTGAAGTCATTTTGATATTATTTTGAGTAATGTCTATTTTTCATCTTTTTTTTTTTAGATTTTTTTATATTATTCAATCTTATTAAAATGCTATTAATTAGCAAAAATTTTCGTAATGCAGCAAAATACTAAAATTTTGGAATTTTGACTTTCATGTGTCTCTTCCTAATAAGTATCATGTTGCCAAGTCAATGTTACTAACAAAATTGCTAACCGAAAGTTAACATTTGGCTAATTCTTAGTATTTCGATAGGTTTTGCTAATAAAAAAGAATCCAAAAAAGATTTGAATAAAAAATAACCATTACTCTATTATTTTAACCCGAAAATCAAAAACTACTTCGTTTCTCCAAAATAAAGTTGTTTAGCCAAATTATATTAAAAATAAAAATAAACTGGAAAAAAAAATCCACTCCTTATCGACTCTCCCCTTCCCGATTCTTCATCTCCCTCTTATCCCCCCTTCCATCTCCTTCTTCTTCTCATCTTCTCCATCCACTCGAGTTCTCTTCTCGTTATATTTATTTTGTGAAGGATGTGATCAGGTCGGTTGGAGAGTTACGGATGGGGGAGAATCGAGTGATCAATTGGAGAGCGAACAAGTGGAGAGGTAAGGCGACGAGACTGGGGAAGGCTTAGGGGGGAGGTTTTTGGAAGGGTTAGGGAAGAAAGACGGGCATGAGGGTTTCAGTAGTGCTTTGTTTTATGAGTCTGATGGGTTTAGGTGCTTGCTTAATTGACCAGACGAGCCAGACCAATAGGGATTAAGGCGGGCTAGAGGTGGATTATGAGAGGTTTTTTCAATCCTCTCATGACTTGAAATCAAATTGGATTGTGTGGTACCCAGTTTCTGATTGCAACCAAACTAGATTAGAATGTCCGCTTTTTAGTTGCTTTTCTAGTGTGATGTGATTCGGCTAGGGGAGTACAACGGTACGCTTCGAACCGGATCGGACTCAGGAGAACCACAGTCCTATAGTGAAAGATATATGAGAACCAAGGATTGAACAAATATTGCGTTCGATCCGGTTTGGTAAGTCCAAATGTCAATTTGATATGTTTTTCTTCAATATTTATAAATTCATAGGATTAATTTCCGAACCACATTATATTATGTTCGGTATGGTCCAGTCCAAGTGTCAGTTTTGTCCAATGCGAATGAGTACGAACCAAACCATTGCACACCCCTAGATTTGGTGGTGCCTAGCTAGGGAACTAAAGTTTACGGTCTTTGTCAATGACGCTAAGATGGTGGTGATTAGGCTCTGAGATGACCAATTGCCCATCTTAGAGGGGGCTGTTTTAGAGAGATTGTGGCATTTTAAGGAATTTTGAGCGATTTGATGTTAGGTTTATTGGTTGTATGGTTAACAGGGTTGCCCATTTAGAGTTACAAAAGGCCTTTTCAATGTTGCCTTTTTTAGTTAGGTTGATTTTGTTTTTTCGGTTGTTTAAAGCCTCCCGACTCTTTTATATCTTGTTGTTTATTGGGTAATAAAAATGATCTTTTGAAAGAAAGGGGGGAAAATTCAGCACGTATAAAGCTAGTTTTCCCTTACTAGGTGTTGGGTTTAAAGCTAGAAAGGCCCTTTCTTTGCCTCTGGTTTCTTGTCGATTGTTTGATTTTCTTTTCTGGGTTGGTTCCAGTGTGTAATCCTTGATCTTGTCTATCAATCAATATGATTATCTTTTGTTAAAAAAAAATTTTGGGTTTAATTTTTCTTATTTTATTTGTATTAATCAATATAATTTTTGTAAGTAAATTTTTCCAATTTTTAAGATTTTTTACTATTGTTCTAACAGGGTTTCATAAATTATTTATGTGTATTGTATTCCTTAAAAGTAATTTGTTGTTTGTTTCTCATGTATGATATCAATGAAGGTTGATGACATTCTAATCTAATGTAGTTGATTTGTTGATTCGGGCATAATTACACATGTTTTACCCCTCATTTCTTTATTGTTTGACTTGATAAATCATTTTCTCTCAACCTAATTTACACTAGGTTGTTCTTTTTTTGTTATATTTCATTTCCTAGTGGGTGCGGGAAGGTTGATGACGAGTTTTGGGACGATAGGAGTCGAAAAGCACCAAAAAGTGAAGAAAAGTAAAAAGTCACGGTTTGGATGTGAATGTCACGGCCACGAGACCGTGACAATTGCAAGGAGGGTGTGAAGATTGCTGAGAAACAGGAGGCTTTGCACGCCTCGCGGGCATAAAAGTTGTCACGGTCACCAGACCATAACAATTACCCACGGACTGTGAGGTCAGGCTTAAACGGCAACAACTTCCTACGTTTTTGGACGAGATGACGGCCGAAGGTTCGTTGTCAAGACCGTGACATTCAGCCCATGACTTTGACTGTCGTGCTGTATAAAACACAACAGCGAGGAGAGATAAAGGATCTAATTTTTTAAGGAGAACTTGGTTCTCTCTCTAGGGTTTCGATCCAAAATACCAAATAGGAGTTCTAGAGAGAGAGAGAGAGATCTTGGAGGTTAATTGAATGCTTGGGTTGATATTCGAGTCAATGATTCAAGCCTAGAAGATGAAGAAGAAGATCTTGAACATGTTTTGTAATCTCTCTTCTCTTAGGTTGATGAACCCTAGGTCTAGATTTTGGGTTAATGTTGTTGTATATGACAAATCCTATGTTTGAGTGAGTTTATTATTTCCTTTGATGGTTTTCATGAATTTCTTGAGTTTGCATTCATGTCAATTGAGCTTTTGACCTCGGAGGGAGATAATTCACTCTTCATCCTATATCGTCCGGGTAAGCCCCGAGGGAGTCGATTGGACTGATCTTCTACGACATAGGCTTTCCCTAGGTTGAATAGAGTACCACTTATCCATCACTTTGTTGTTCTAGGTCCGTCCCGAGGGAGTCAACATCCTAACAGTAGGGTAGTGAGCCGATCAAGCAAGGATGGTACTCATCATCGATCAAATGACGGAACTAGCTCTCACCTTGTAATTAGCTAGGTTAGTGGTTAGCTAGGTTGTTTAGTTTAGTCTTCTTAATCACTATGATAGGTTGGCTAGATAACGAACCCTAAACCTGAAGTAAGGTAAGCTTAGATCCCCGTGGTATGATAAATTTATTACTTGCTTACCCTATGCTACACCCAGTCTTCAGTTATACTTGGCCATCGATTGAGAATGTTGTAGCTAGAGTCGAACCAAGTTTTTGGCGCTGTTTCTGGGGAATCATTCTAGGTTATCAGAAAAATACTTAGGTCGTTACTTTAACCGTTTTTTTTTTTTTTTGTGTTTTTGTCGTTGTAGGTTGAATCATGGAACCCAATGGTTTCTACAACACATGGGGGTATCCACAACCACCCGAATAGGGGTACCCCAGAGCTTCATGGAACAATCAAGAGGGTGTAAGCCAAGGAACCGGGTTTTATGGTCAACCTCTCTTCCAAGAAGAACAACCATACCACTGGGGATATCAAGAAGCTTCCCGATATTAAGACGATTTCCCTCCACAAACTGAGGAGAAGTCCAATTTGGAGTTGGCTGTGGAGGCTTTGTGGGGGATTTCTCACAACCATATGCCGCTCCACAACCGGATCCCAAGAGCGAATTGGAGCTCATGGTGGAGCAATTTTCTCGAGGTACCGACGAAGGATGCTCCAATGCAGATCATCCAATCGTCGAACCTATCGACTCGTCCTTCAAAGCACAGTGAGGTTAGGTGGGATTGTTGAGCAAGCATGTACACAACTTGCTCAAAATCGTCTCCTACCATTTGAAGAAGGTAAGGGAAGTCGAAGAGGCAACCCATGAGTACTTTTGTAGATAGAGCTCCGACATGGATTCCCAGCCCCTCACTCTACCCGGTTTGACACTTGAAGAGAAGGTTGCGCGAGCTTGTGCATGCCATTGCCTCTCACCATTGGAAGAAGAAGTGGAGGTTGAAAGGGAGATCAATAAATACTATGTAGAGCAAGAGGAACTCACCCCGGAGAGCTCCCATGGTGAGGATGGTCAAGAGTGTCTCATTGGCGACTATCATAACTTTCTCCTTCTCGAGAACCACTTTGAAGACATGAATGGGAAGGAGAATGAAGAGGTTGAAGTGGAGGAAGTACTTAATATAGCCATAAGTTCGAGCTATGATAATCCGAATAGCACAACCAACTTGATCAAATCCAAAAGATTGATCCATCCAAATAGAGTTCAAGAAACAAGCTTGGCAAGCTAGTTTGAACACGAACTAGATGGAAACAAAAGGGGAATCTCGCACCTGAGAGATTAGAAAATTCTTATAAGGTTGCTTTCAATGTAATCGAGTGTGGTTCTCGATCAATAAACCAAGATCAGCAAGTTTCGGAACTCTCCAAAACCAAACAAACTCACAAACTCGCATGCTTGAGATTTAGGGTAAATTTCACTCTATTTCATTCTAAATTGCACAAACACGAATTAAGCCTTTTGTAGGCAAAGAACTAACTCAAAAAAGGTTAAACAAAGCATAAAATAAAGGGGCAGGATAGAATAACAACACCCCTTTTGTTGTTACAGTAACAACAAGGGTATAAGGGTAAAATTACAAGAAAAATAAAAAAACTAAAACATAGAATCCCTGCGCGATCGTAGTCGCTGAATTCGAGGCAAACCACGACTCCGCGGAATTCGTCGAGCGAATCGACGGCGCGATTGTTCTATACGGCGCGCTGTTCGATTGCCTGGACGATTGCTTCAATCGATCGGACGGCGACCGGGGGATCATGGAGTCAGCGGTCGGGATCGAGATTCGGGACACGGTGGCGGTGGAGGGAGACGAGGAGCGGGTTTACCGGCCGATGAGGATCGAGGAATGGCGGGGTTATTTCTCCAGAGTTGGGATGGTGGAGCTGGAGATCAGCTCGTCGACGTTTTATCAGGAGGCGCTGCTGGTCAGGAATTTTGCGTCCGGCGAAAGTGTTCCCTTTTAAGGAAGGATCGGAGAAAATAACAGATCTCATTTTTAGTGCAATCGGATCGACTCCTTTTTAGATACCGCCTCCGGCCTGCCTGCACCAAAACTTCACTTTAAGATAACTAAAATGCAACATATCATAACATTCTGTGGGCTCAAGCTCGGGTTAATTGCATTATTAGAGGTGTATTTGGAGGTTTATTAGTGGTATACATACCATAAATACGATAAAATAACTCACAAAAAGCAAACCAAAAACCTCCTAATGCATACCACAAATCCCATTAAACAAACAACAAACCTCACAAACCAAACCACAACATTTGCGAAAGCACACCAGAAACCTCCAAATGCAAACCACAAACCTCCTAATGCATACCACAAATCTCCTAAAACAAACCACAAACCTCACAAAGCAAACCACAACATTTGCGAAAGCACACGAGAAACCTCCTAACGCACACCACGAACACAGTAAATCAAACCACAAAAAAGCAAACCATAAACGTCCTAATGCAAACCACAAATATATTAAAACAAACCAGAAACCTCACAATGCAAACCACAAAGTTTTTGAAAGCAACCCAGAAACTTCTCAATGCAAACCACAAACACGATAAAGCAAACCAGAAACTTCTTAATGCAAACCACAAACACGATAAAGCAAACCACAAAAGACATACAAAAATATGAGAAACCAAACCATAAATCTCACAATGCAGACCATAACATCCGGTGGTCGTTGACCGTTGACCGGTCAACGAAACTCCGGTCAAGAAACCCGTTGACCAAGCTCTGATGACCGTCAGTGAGTAGATTCCGGCGCCGAGAGGCATATTCCGGCCCCGATTACTAGATTCCGATGCCGGTAAGCATATTCCGACCACGGTGAGCATATTCCGGCGACGGTGGCATATTCCGATGACAAAAAAGCATATTCCGGTGACTGGCGACCATATTCGGGCAACCGATGGCCGAACTCCGGCGACCAAAATTTTGGGCCGAAAATAAGAAAATATTTTTTATTTTTTTATTATTATTTAAACATATTTTTCATAATGGCAATTATACCCCTACTTTGATTTTACACTAAGTCAACTTATCTAATAAAAAGTCATCACAACCCTAGCTTCCTATTGGTTGGAGACTAGTATTGTTACAATAACAACACAAGGAGTGTTGTTACCGTAACTGGTCCCTAAAATAAACCTAATACAACTTGGGAACTAATTCTACACGAATCCTTGTGACAAAAGGAATTCTGGCTTTCTACACGAGAAATCAACAGACAACATAGCAATTTTACCCATCACGTTCAAACCCCAAATGAGCTCCAAATCTTCAACCAATTCCTTTCATTTGTAGAACAACATGCCTACTTTAATGTGACACAAAGCTCTTGGTTCGACTCTCAACAATTTTCCTCGAATAAGGCTCTAAAGTTGGCTTCATGAACACGACTTTTGCCTCAAATTTAGGCAGTCTTTGGCTTTCTTCATAACATTTTTGGAGACTTATAAAATGGCTTCCTTGCCTTCTTTCTTATCATCCAAGCATTCCACTATGTAGACAAACACCTGAGCTTTAAAACAAACCCTTTCTCTTGAATTTTTATCAAGCCATTTGTGAGAACCAAGACTGCAAAGTTGGTACCTTGAAACAGCCTCAACACTTGGACAATTTTTGTTGTTCTTCATACCAGTTGAGCTTGCTTCTTTGGCAAGTAATCCTGAATCATAGATTGAGCCATTTACGATCATATCAGGTTCCCCCTCTTCAAAAAACTTTGTCATCAAAGCTTTGGCCTTCCTTTGCTCGAAATAGTCGCAGAATCGATCCCAAATTGGATGGAAATAAGGTTGTTTGAACCTCCAGTTCCTGCAAAATTAGGTCCAAAGTGTTATTCGTTAGAAAATTTGGGGCTTTCTTCCTCAAGGATTTCCAGAACAAGTCAACACTTCCTCGTGCTTAGCTAGACTTCCAATTGAATTCTGGTCTAGTCTCCTGCTTCGAATCATCGCCATCTCTGTCGAGTCATCATTCTCCATTTTCCCACCATCGCAACTTTTCAAATGTCTGGAACCCAGACTTCCGAATTTGATTTTGGGGGTTTCGATTCCAGGCATCTCCACATCCAATTGACAACTCGTACAGTTTCCTAGGACCTTCCTCGACAATTCTTCATCATCAGTTTGGATCGAATCAATCCTGAACTCTTCAACCATTAACCCCAATTTTTGGTCGTGTTTGCTCGTTTACAGGGGTGATTCTGGTCAATCTCGATTCTACGATTGGGACGAAGTTGATGCAAACCATTCCGGGGAAAAGATATGGGGTGCTACCTAGAATGTGATGCCATAGCTGGGTTGGATCAATTCGTCGTCCAAGTCACCACCCATATCACTCTCTCTCTTTCCCTACTCTGCCGTCGTTGGAAAACGAGTTGCCGTCTTTCTGGAAATTGACAAAACTTTTTCGGCGGAGAGCCGCCAACACAAACTTTCGAGTTACTAGGACCTGAATGACCCGGAACTCCTCCCGGACTTTCCCACACGTGCTAGGACCTTAAATGTAACAAAATATGCACAACCTAGCGTAAAATAGGTCGAGGGACGGTGATTTACTAAGCATAACAGACAAGAAATGAGGGGTAAAATGTGTACATTTGGACCCGAATCCGTGAGCGTTGCTTGTGTTGGTGCTACTAGTACTAGTGTTTTGGGAGGGAAATATGATGCTGAGTTCAAGAAGAGAAGAAAGGAGCAACTTCAAAAGGGGATTCGAGGTAGTTATGAATTGGACATCTATTTAAGAGATGTTGATGATGCTATAACGAGGATGATGATGATCAGAAGTTCGACATTTTGAAGTGGTGGTCTCGGAATAGTGTTAGCACCCCATCCTTTCATAGATGGTTAAGGATATCCTGGAAGTTCCAATATCCTCAGTTGCCTCAGAGTCCGCTTTCAGTTGTGGAGGTAGAGTGCTTAGTCCGTTTAGGTCTTCTTTGAACTCTAACATTGTAGAGACCTTGATTTGTGCCGAAGATTGGATACGGTATGAATGTGGTAAGAATTCAGGCCAAGTTTATGATTAAGAAGAAGATCAAGACCAGATTGATTATGAAAGACTTAAGAATTCATAATTCTTATTTGTTTGTAGTTATTCACTCACTTAATTTCCAAGATAATTGATGAATTCTAACAATTTGTTCTTTTTTCTTAAACTTAGTCACTAGTACCTTTGAAGCTTGAATGGAAAGTGTAGGTGATATGCCAAGAGAATGCGGATGACATAATATACCCGTTGCGGTTGTGGAGGAGGATGGTGATGGAGAAGATTCAGAAGAAGAAGAAGAAGAGGAGGATGAAGCGGAAGATGAAGAGGATGATGATTATGATGTTCTTCTCAATACTTTGATGAAGAAGCAAGGTTGTGCTAATGTTGGCGGTTCGGGCCATTAGCGATGGAGGAGCTAGTGGTCAATCATAGTGGTGTAGTTATGCTATCTTTATGTTGGAGAATTTTATTTTAAGTTGGAACTTGGAACTTATGTTGGATTTGTCAGTTTAGTAGTTGATTATGGTGTTTCATGTTTGTGAGACTATGTTGATTGTTGAATGATGGAATTTGTGAATTGTTTCATGTTTGAGACTATGTATTTATGTAGTTATGCTTATGTTATATTTATCTACTAACTACTTGTGTAGACTGTAGTTGACAATGTCATAAATACGTACGGGTATTTTACTTCTTCTCTATGCTAATGTAACATTTAATATTAAGTTAATAGTCATAAATATATATAATTAATTATTTTAAAAATAAAAAATAAAAATTATAGTAAATTTAATAATTTAATTCATTAAATACGAAGTTACTCATTGAATCCCAATTTTCCACATAAAAACTGTAAAAAGGAAAAAAAGAATTAACAGAATAGATGAATGCAGGCGCAGGGCCGTGGACTCTGATTTCTGGGGAATCATTTAGACGATTACTACGACAATACGAGATTTGAAGCCTCTCTTAGCCTTGTAAATTTCCCGGCAAGACAGAGAATCCATTTCCACAAAGGCCGCCATAATTTAGACTTGTCTTCTTCCACACTCAGTCAATTGGGTCCCCACTGGACTTTTCTTCTTCGTCTCCAACGAGCAGCTCCCTCCGACTTCCACTGGTTTAGATAGTAGAGCTCCGTTTTCCTCACTTTGGGAATTCATCGCTCGCACCATTTCAGCCCCCTTGGTTTTATCTGGCTGCTAAGCCCACTAACCATTTCCTTTTCAATGAGTTTTCTTCTGGGAACCCAAAGTTGTTGGCTTGATTGGGAGTCCGAGTCCGACCCGTTGCCCGCCGACTTCCTCGCCATCCCCCTTTTCGCCGTCTTCTTTCCCTTGATCAGGCTTTTCCTCGACAGATATGTTTTCCAGGTCTCTTCTCCCTTTTTTTCTCAGTTGCTTACAATTAACCTTGTAAGCTGCGAGATGGGTCTTTCGGGGTTTAATTCAGTTTCCGGTGGCTGCAGAAATTGGCTGGACGGTTGATTTTGGGCAAAGGGTATCCTAGTATTCATCTTGTGACACGTGAGGAAAGGAAGACCATAACAAAGTTCAAAGAATCAGCCTGGAAGCTTGTTTATTTCCTTTCATCGGAGCTATTGGCTCTCTACGTTTCTCATAATGAGCCTTGGTTCACTAATACCAACTACTTCTGGAAAGGACCTGGAGATCAAGTTTGGCCCGACCTCAAAGTCGAGTGAGAAAAACTTGCTAATGTTTGTTTGTTTGTTTGTTTTTATGCGTTGAATCGAATGGTTGCTTATTTATTATGGATTGGATGTTATGTGCCTGGGTGGTCAGATTGAAACTTAAGGCTTTGTACATGTACGGTGGTGGATTCTACGTCTACTCCACATTTGCATTGTTGTTCTGGGAAACAAGAAGATCGGACTTTTCGGTTTCCATGGGTCATCATCTGGCAACACTTGCTCTCCTTGTGCTGTCGTACATGGCTAGGTAAGGTAGGGTTTGTTTGCTTCAGGACTGCAATTTCTTTACTCTTTTCATCAGCCTGCTTTCTCTTGTTTTGTAGGTTTGCTCGTGTTGGTGCAGTTGTGCTTGCAATACATGATGCCACTGATATGTTCCTGGAAGCTGCAAAAATGTCAAGATACAGTGGATTTGAATCGCTTTCCAGCATTTTCTTTGCTTCATTCGTCGTGGTTTGGACCATGCTCCGAATTATCTGCTTCCCACTCTGGATACTGAGAAGTACAAGGTGAGATGCGGTCTGAGAGTGAAAGCCATCCTAACTCCATTTTCACCTAGGGTTTTCCAGCTTTCTTCAAATGTCATCATTCCCGTGTGATTGGCAGCTCTGAAGTCGTAGCCAGTCTGGACATGGAGAAGCATGCTGTGGAAGGGCCTGTATATTACTATATGTTCAATACTCTTCTCATCTGCTTGCTCATTGTCAACATATACTGGTGGAAGCTGATGATCGTGATGGTGATCGATCAAATCAAGGCCAGAGGCAAGCTTGGCGACGACATTCGATCGGGTATAACTTAACTAACTAATCAGAACAACAACCGCACCGCCATATAGTAGGAATACAACTTCATTGATTGCCATTAATATGTGATGAGTTTTTGGACATGCAGATTCTGAAGGTGAAGACGACCATGTTGACTGACAGCATTACTCTCATAATGTGGATAGATCAGAGGAGCACCATACTTGTTTGTGAATGCTAAGGTGAAAGGGAAAGGGAAATGTAGCTATAGCATTTAGACGTCTCATGTTTGTGTTCTATATATTCTACCGTTCAATGACATATCCATTTGCGTAGAATGATCCCTGTTTGTAAATTTTACATAAGTGCATATTCAACATGTATCCTAAAGTTTTGACGGGGGATGGGAGTGCATCCCTCTATAGTAATTATTGCACCATGGAAAAGAAACTGCAAGTGTTACGTTGAATAGATTACAGAAGAAACTCTTATTAAGAAAAAAATACAGAAGAAACTCTTATTAAGAAAAAAAATTACAGAAGGAATTAGATAAGCAACTTCTTTATCTTCTTTTATGGGTGCTATGACTTGAATGTTTATAACAAAGCCTATTTCCAAAACTTCCAAAAAGCTGCAAGTCTAATAAAATGGTTACTACTCGTTTAAACGGAACGGCACGGCTTCCATTTGTTTGTTTCCCCGTTTGTGTTGTTACCTCCTTCCCGATTGCCGAGTACAATAGGTACAGCAATCCACTGCAATCATTGTTTTAGTCATCTGTAATCTCTAGCAGGAAAACTTAGCAATCAACTTGTCGACGTGGATGATGATGTCATCGATGCGTGGGCGAACTGCTGCTTGTGGCTGAAGCATCCACATCACAAACTGGTGCAGAGCTTCTGGATATGGAGGCTTAGGTCCAGCTGGCCACTTTACCTGTGCATTTAGGACTGCCAGTTGTAGGCTCCCTCCAGACTCTCCAAGAGCATACTCAAATGGAGATACGCCGTACCTGTATTTATGGATCAGCAATATATTGAGAAGGTCAAAATAATGAACGCAGATAACTGCTGCAAGGTTGGAGACATCAATGACATCTGAACTTCAGTTTTTAACATATTACGGCAACTACATCTATCATAAGCACAAGCTGACTGACGTTTCTGGGAATTTTCATGATACATTAGTAAGACGGTGTTCTCACATGATTGCATAAAGTGTGCATCCCAGAGACCAAACATCCGTCCTCTCGTCAATATCTGAGTGACTTGGGCAATCCCATAACTCAGGAGCTCTGAAAGGTGCTGTACAATGCTCTGCTGCCCATTCCTAATAGCAACACGCATAGATGAGTAAGATCTTCCTATGTCTAAAAATAGCACTCCGCTCCGCAACACAGATACACTAAGATGCAGATTTAGAATGTAGAACTTCTAACAATATTTCTACCTAAAACTGAAAATAATGAACAGATAAAGAGATGGTAAGCAGAAGATTGTCAAGAGCTCCACATGACTAAGTACCTGTAGTTGTAGTGCCTCTGTTCGGGAACGAATTTGCTTTCTTGCAGGTCGAGCGCTGCCAAAATCCATCAATATGGCAAGGGGTGACTGCCCTTTCTTATGTGTTATAAGGATATTGCCGGGTTTCACATCATTGTGTGCATATGGAGGCTCAAGACTGTGCATGTGCTTCAATCCTGCACAAAGCTATGGTGGCACCTTTTTTTCTCAGTGAATAATATAGTTAAAATCTCACTATCTAGTATCTGCCAAAGAAGGCAGAGGCAACAATACGAAAACTTAAAAGGAAATGGTGAAGCAAGAAGCAAAAAGAGGAAACAAAGTTAGACAAGTGGCTTTCATCACCGAGCCTGGACTAGCTAAATTATGGTCAAAATCGAGTAATAATTAAAAACAGCTCTGACCAAACATTGTATGGAGCTTCACGAACTTGTGTGAAATTTGGTCATGCATGATATAGATTTTACAGCATATATGGAGCCATTAAACCAGGATGGAGAACGTAGATACGCTTTCAAGTAAAAACACAGTAAAAAGGAGCAAAGTCGTCACTCACCTGCCGAAATATCTGAAGAGCATCTGAGGTTGAAAAGAACTCTTTCTTCGCCATCATTGCTTTTGAATTGTCCAGTAATGTTCCATCCAAGTGCACTGGAAACAGTAAATATGCTTCGTGGTTCCAGGATGCTTCTTGTGTAGTCTAAGTAAACGTTGAAGGGTAAATTTATTTGCATGATATTCGAGGAAAATTAAGAAAAAGTTAAATGGACGAAATGTCCAGTTGCAAATAAGACACCAGTAATTAACTCTAAAGCTGGTATGTGGCAACCTATTGAGAATCATGCATCTGTTTGAAGGCTCCAATGCATCCATAGCAGAAAGCAATGTGCCAACTGATGTCAAATTCACATAACCAAGCACGGCTAGCTTCCCTCTTCATTTAGAACCAATTTTTACCTTGCATCCAAAGTGGCTTCCAACCATACTACGCATGGAGTATCGCCCATTTGGAACAGTAGATTTTCGCTAGGATAAACATTAATCAATAACCAAAGCAAACTTCCAACACGAAACAAAAGGAAAGGAACATAACGGATGAAGATCAATCAGAGCGAGAGGCTTGTGCTTTGAGTTAATAATAGTGAATACAAGTTCAAAATAGCATGATAATAGGGAAAAGAATGTCAAGATTTCATCAGCTTATAGTTCCTCCATTACCTATAGACTCTCTCTCTCGGGGATTCAATCAATCATTCACAAGGTTAAATGTTTTACTTCATCTTTGACTTTACACGGGAGGCTCAGTTGTGTAGTTTGTACATGCTCAACATACTTCAGATTTAATACCGATTAGACCTCATCATTCAGATTTGATTTCTCTCCCTTTTAAATTATCTAAAGGAAGGAGGATGGTATACTGGAGATTGCATGGCACAACGAATCATCTGCAATCTGGGGAACATTTCCAGCACAATAACAATAGAAAACAAACAATGAACAAGGGATTGGTCTAGTGGTAATCGTTCGAATCCCTTAAGTAGTACCTAATTATTATAAAACTGAACCTATATCACCCTTAAATAAATAAATAAATAAATAAATAAAAGATAGAAAACAAACAAAAGAAAATGCCAAAGAACTGCAGAGACTTTCTCTGAGACTAGATTGCTAAATCAGGATGACTTGCTGTTTTGCCAAGCATATTTTCTACACTGAAAAAAGTACAGAACAGATCTTAACAGACAAACACACAGAGGATTGCGTCAATTACCTTAACAGCAATGATAGCATGATCAAGAAGAGGAAGAAGATTTGGGTGGCTAAACAGTGACGAAACACGAATCTCTTCCCGCACCAATTCCAACTGCTCATTGTTCTGGATAAGAACCTTCTTCATTGCATAAGTTCCATCTTCTGCATTCAGATTAACATTCTTATTCAAGTCCTGAAAACCAGTGCTCACTGCAAATCACATCCATCTACAGACTACAAGGTCATCCAGACGTATTAGCGTGACATGCCAAACACTACCCTTGATTTAAATTCCTGCCCCCAGATCGCGATCCGCAGAAAGTTGGCATTTTACCCCAAACTTCAAACGGCCCTCTTAAAGAATATATTCATACGAATCGCAGAAAATAGTAACAGCTACTAAGAGCATTCAAAACTTTCCATTGAACTTCCAGATCCGAAAGCTCAGCTTGGCATAGACCAAAATCCTCGAAACACCACCGGCATAATCAAAATACCAATCAACTAGCGTAGCTAACAACCTGCACTGACTGTTGGTTCAACATCAACCGACAAATGTAATCCTTCCGCCGCGGATCACATAACACATTAGAAGTTCAACGACGAGATTCAAACATTAACCCCACCCAGATCAGAAACACGACCGGAACGAAATCAGAAGCGGGAAACAGGAAAGGAAATTCACCGGAAAGATGGGATTTGTCCCTGACTTTGGCGGCGAGACCAGTACCGGGGACGGAGGAATTGTCGGAGGGCACCTCTTTGACCAAGAAAACAAAGGCGAAGCCACCTTCTCCGAGCTGTCTAAGGATTCTGTAACGGTTCTCGTTGATCCAGACATCTCCACCGCCGTTCACGGCGTCGTAGAGGGCATTCAGGCCGGAGAAAGAGCAGCCCATGATGAGTTAATTCTCTCTGAGAGAGTCGGTATGGAGGAAAGAAAACAAAATTTTGCAGTGGAGAGGAGAGGAGAGGAGAGGGAATTAGATCTCAGTTTATCAGGTGCTCATATCACATCACATCAAACCTCTCTGACGCTTCTGTTAAGTGGACCAGATCTGGCCATCGTCTCGTCTAGTGTGTCCATTTCCTGTTTTCCGCCTCTCGTTTCGATCTGACGCCCATTTGCATCAAAATGTATACGGTTAAAAAACATCATCAAAATATAGGGATAAATATATAAAATAATGATAATATGGCCTCATTTCGTTTGGAACCTCCAATTCTAAACATTGTATGCATATAATATTTTTTGGTTTAATGTAATAACGGAATGCATGTATTCAGAATACTCCTAACACATAGAAAATGATTTATAGTGAATCTTATCTTTTTTATGAGATTTTAAACTATAATTTAGGCAAAATACACTTGTATATCCGTAACTTTTACGTTTGTGACAAATATAGCCACAACTATCTGAAAACATAAAATAGCCAATTCCGTCTATCAATTTAACGGTGTTACTTTATAGTCTGACTGGACTGACGGAAATGCTAACATGACATTTTTTGTCGGACACGTGGATTGACAAAACAAATATAAATAATATAAATGCAATTTTTCTGATCTAATAAAATGAAATATAAATATAAATATAAAGTCCCCGCCGCCAACATCATCTCCATCCCTCCTTTCCTCCACCCATTACCTCTCTTTGAATCCCTCAAAGGCAATTAATCAGGTCTCAAGTCAATTGTCGATTTTCAATGAAACCCAAAATTCCCAAAATCCCAACGGAACCCAGAAATTCCAATGAGAGCATGAAGATGTGGAGAACGAGCAGGGAGACTGCGGTGGGGAATCATCTCTTCTTTGTCTTCGGCGTGGAATCGTCTCCCTGTTCGTCGGGTGATAAAGATCTAGATCAACAACGCTCCCGCCTGGCTACAATTCCACAGACAGCGCGACATTCCAATCTACAGCAGCACCGCCCTTATCTTTTTAGTCACCAGCACGAACCCAGCATCCGCCTCTCCCTCACTCGACGGCGTTCGTTCAGGTGTACGATTAGCGGGGCGGGGCCGACGGCGGTGGCAGTGGCGGTGGTGAGAGGCGGAGGAAAGAGGGGAAGAGGGTGGGAAGAGGATGGTGGAGGCCTGGAGTTGGTTGTTATGATGAAGCGGCTGGATCGAATTGATAGTCAGCGCCACCGATTGAAATGAGTGTCTCAAAACCCTAATCGAGTTTGGGAGAAGGTAGGATAGAGTGGGCATGCAGGTGGATGAGAATAAGAGGAAAAATAGAAAAAATTATTGTTATTTTAAATAATTGATGACGTGGCATCTACATGTAAAGTTATTCTAATTTATTGCTTACGTGGACGATGAGTTGGATCCAAGTCAGCGTTCTGTCACAGAATTTGACGGCATCTCTAACACCGTTAAAGTTTCTAACGGAAATGGCTAGATTTGTCACACGACCATCCAATTTCTTGGCTATTTTGTGTTTTCTGATAGTTATGGCTATATTTGTCAAAAACGTGAAAGTTATGGTTATTCAAGTGTATTTTGCCTATAATTTATACATAGTTCATTTTTAAACTATAATTTATACATTCTTTTATAGTTTCCAAAAAATGAATTTTCAAAACCACATATTATTTTTCTCTAATAAATATGACGTGTTAAAATGCACATCCACTGAACCTAAATCTAGATGTGAGGCAGTTTGTTTTTAAGTTGGTGTAGTTTCAATTTCATGGAGTGCTAGCTTCTAGTATGATATGTATTTCACCATCACCGACACAAAATCAGCATTGTTTATGTTTCTACAACTTAATTGTTTGACGTGAATGTCTCGGTTGTCTGTGCATCTGCATTTTTCTTTCGTTATTTTTAATTTATATTAGTTTCATTTTAATATAAAATAAGGTATGCTTATAGTGACATGCATGTCACCGTAACTTGCACTTTTAGATCGATCTCATATAGGATTAGGTCGATCTAATATGTCGTTTCAGTTTTGTGAGGTTCCCGAATACACTAATGTGGGCACCCTAATGACTTATCACGGTCGACCTTTAAAATGTAGTGGTCGACCGTTTGTAGTTTAAGTTGTCATTGTTAGTCTACCACAATAAAACATCGGTCGCCCTTTTCATTGGCGTCAGAAGCAAAATGGTCGACCGTAAAGGTATATAGGTCGACAACTTGATGGCGGTCATTAACAAAATGGTCTACCATTTACAGAAAGAGGTCGACGAGATAGAAGAGAAGTGTTGTATACATTTATCCATCATCATTTGACGTAAAATGAAGATCAAGTGTTGGTTTCGCGGTCGACATAATCCGGTACGAGGTCGACCGAATACAAGAAAATCAACCTATGCCCTGCGTCTTTTTTGCTTATGTATGTCGATGTGGGTGGTTCTTTTGCTCGTACAAGTTACGGATCAAACCAACAGAATTAGTCATAAATAATGATGACAAGGACTCATAACTTCCACGTGGTCGACCTCTTGAATCACGTACAACAGCAACCGCAAAGGATCTTCTTCACAAAAGCTCCAACCGTAAAAAAAACCTAATTCAGAGTTTCAGTGGCGGTGAAGGTGACATATATTCGTATTTATAGATATTTAGGATGGGAATTGGCCGAATTAAGTGGTAGATAAGTTAGGGTTACCTTTTTGATGTTGGAATCCTTATCCATTACGGATACGGCGTGCACGCGGTCGACCTCGTACTTATGCGGCCGACCTCAGTTAATCAAAATGGTCGGCCTATGAGGTATTTAGGTCGACCTTTCATTCTGTTCGCTTCCCAAAGAGGTCGGCCATTTGCTATAAAAGGTCAACTGCGTCGTTGAACCTCACCAAACTGAAACGGCATATTAGGTCGACCTACTCCTATATAAGGTCGACCTAAAAGTGCAGATTAGGTCGACCTAATCCTATATAAGGTCGACCTAAACGTACAAGTTACGGTGACATGCAAGTTACATTGACATCATGTCACCGTAGCAAAGTCCTATAAAATATAATCATACTAAATAGTTTGAGACAATTTAAACTATAGTTATGCATTATTAACATAAAATAATAATTATAAGATCTACAATCAATATACATCATTCATCGTAATTCATAATTCGAATCAAAATTATAACACATCAATTTAAAAATAATTTAAAATTTACACTCAATTACCAAGTATCAACTAATTAAACATTAATCACAAGAACCACATGATCATCATCATCCACAAACTGACAAACATCAAAGACACAAAAAGACTACCGGGGAGTGACGTTTTCCATTGATTGCAAAGGGCACATGGAGAGAAGGGTGACTTTCATTTTCTCACACTTTGTGATGTTGGGGACTTTGAGTGTAAGTTTGTTCGAGATAGGTGAGAATTGAGATGTTTGGAATTACGACTTCGGTTGGTATTGCATCTTGGGAATTTTTTTTTTTTTTTTTGCTAAAGTTCAAAACTATGTGGTTATACTAGTAGGTGGTTATCGATTTACTTAGTGATTAACCATTACCATTAGTCGGTTAATGGTTAACCATTAATTGATTAATCGGTTACTAGTTAAACACTAATAAGTTAGTACTTAGTACATTAATGGTTAACCACTAAGCAAAAACAACTTACCAATAAATCGAACCATTAAGAAATTATCGGTTATTGATTAATCACTAATCGTCATGATCAGTTAATCACTAACTGCCATAATTGATTATTAATTACCACTTTCATTATCACTTTTAACCAATAACCTCAATAGCCGGCTAAGCATTTACCATTATATCACACAAACTTGTTGTCAGGCATGTTAGAATAGTCATTGAGAAGTGTAAGATATAGCATATCAATCCTTTTTTTTAGAACGAGTTGAAGATTTGCAACTCCCAAACACACACACACATAGGGTTAGTTTTGGCCCTACTGTAACTTTTGTATAAAGCATTTTCTGACTGGAGTTTTTATAGAAGTACTAGAAAAATAAACTAATATAATTTTTAATATAAAATATGAATAAAATTCAAAAAAATATAACCTTCTTAGACTTCTTATATATTAAATAATAATATTTTTATTTATTTATTTTTATAATAATATACATGAAAGAGAATTGTATTTTCCAAAATAAAATTAAAATATGATAAGGATAATCTTGTATTTTCAACACAACTTTTTGCAGAAGCTCCAAATAAGAAGTTCTACTTTTATGTTATACAAAAACATTTTTCAACTTTGAAAAGCTGAGCTTTTAGAAGTGTTTGTCACTGCTTAACCTTTCGAAGTAGAAAACACTTTTAAAAGCTGGCCAAATATAGGCATATATGATTTTGTCTTCGGTACCATTGCCTTGAGGATAGGGACACCGGATGACGATACGTAACGCGGTGAACCCTAGTAATATGTATATAAGTTAAGATAGAAGTAGAGAACTTCTATAAGCCATTAAGGACTAAAGTGTTAAGGATCAAAGTGAGAACGACTTTCATGTAAAATAGGAATGTTCTATTAATGTGTTAGTAAGGATTTGCTTGGGCAAAGATCTTAGGAAGTAACGACGAGATTGACCCCTTCCCACTCACCAGGTGTGGAAAGGGGAAGAGGACGTAATTAACCAGCACGAGGAGGTTAATCAAGGAGGTCAGACGCGTCAAACTTAAAGATGCCAGAAGGCTCAGGGTAACTAGAAGGGACCCCTTTATCATATTTGTCTTTATTTTGTGTCTTATTAGTATACTAGGAAACTCAAGGAGTATGTTTTTAGTGTTCAGATTGTAGTTTCCCAAGTGTTTAGGGCCTTTCGTTTGAAATTCTTAGTTATTGTCAATTTGATTTTGAAAATGTGATTTGGGTTGCTCCCGAGTAACAGTTTTTGTGTTTGAGTTATGGTTTGGTTTTTTTCAAAAGTGTCGGGTTGTTTCATTTTGGTATCAGAGTCAGCATTCCTTTGTTTCTTGGTCTCCAAGAAATACTTGAATGACGATCTAAGTTTTCAAAGGTTAAGTTTTAAAGGGAAAAAGGAATTTCAAGAAAAATGGTTGGCCAACCGATTTGAAGAGGTTTATAGAGTTTTCAGTATACTCAAGCATGATAAGACAAATAAATGTGGTTCTAATAAGGGTACTATTTATTTGCAGAGCAAGTAATA